CGTGCGGGCTGGCCGCGCGCGTGGGGCCGACGCGGGCGGGCTGGTCGCGCGCGCGGGACCGAGGGGTTGAGGCGCGCGGGCTGGCCGCGCGAGTGGGGCCGAGTGGCCGAGGCGCGTGGGGCTGAGGAGCCGAGACCAGGCCCAGAAGTCGCTGCTGCTGGTGCAGGTCGGCTGCAGTGGAGCAACCAAGGAGAAGGCTAATGTACTGTCATTCCGGGCCCTCCTTCTAGCGCCAAAATGTTGCGGGGGGCAACTGTTTAAGCCGTGGCATCGGGGCCGTCGCGGCTTGGTTCGGGTCCGGAAGTGGGGGGATCTCGGGCGGCGTCCCTCGGGGTCTCCCGGCGGCCGAGCATGGGGGTTCGGGTCGGGAGGAAGCTCCGCCGCAGCGTCGGGAAGGGGCGATCCCGTCCTTCGCACTTGCACACAGGTCGGGCCGGGAGCTCGGCCCGACCCCTCCGACGATCAAATCAGCGATGTGGAGGGGATTTCAAGAGAAGAAGTGTTTTGGAGTGTGTCCCCGTAGGGGTTGTGCGTATCCCCTCCTCTCTCCTTTAGCATGCAAGGGTATTTATAGGGAAGCTTACTGTGCTTGAGCTGGCCGCTTGCAGGGGGCAGGCTGGTACTCCTGACAGTAGCAATGGCGTAGCGTGTTGGACTTGGCTTTTGCAGGATATTAATGTGCCTCGGTCAGCGTTCTGATCAATTCCGAGGTGCATGACGTCATCTGGAGCAGCTGACATTGTCCCTTGGTGCCTCGGTCGGCTTCATTGGTGCTCGTCTACTCCGCAGACCCATCTTTCCGATCCGGTCTCTGCGATTCTTCTCGATGGGAGGGTTGGACCTGTGGGAGCTTTATCGGGAATGGCGAAGGCGTCGAGGAGAAGACCGAAGACTAAGATCGTGTGCACCTTGGGCCCGGCTTCGAGGTCCGAGGAGATGATCGAGAGGTTTTTGATGGCGGGGATGAATGTGGCTAGGTTCAACTTCTCCCACGGTTCCCACGCTTACCATCAGGAAACCCTAGACAACCTCCGCGCTGCGATGGACAAGACCGGAATCCTCTGCGCTGTCATGCTCGACACGAAGGGCCCTGAGATCCGGACTGGGTTTTTGAAAGATGGCAAACCTATCCATCTACAAAAGGGCTAAGAAATCACCGTCACTGCAGATTACAGCATAAAGGGTGATGAAAACATGATATCAATGAGCTACAAAAGCTAGCAGAGGATTTGAAGCCAAACAGTGCCATTTTATGTGCTGACGGGACTATTACACTTACAGTGCTTGCTTGCGACAAGGAGTCAGGACTGGTTCGCTGCCGCTGCGAGAATTCTGCAGTCCTTGGTGAGAGGAAAAATGTCAATCTTCCCGGCGTTATCGTCGATCTTCCAACTCTAACAGAGAAGGACAAGGAGGATATCCTGAAATGGGGCATCCCAAGCAAAATTGACATGATTGCCCTGTCCTTTTGATGAGGATAGTAATTATGATAAGACTTGGTTGACGTCAGATGACGCCTCATGCATCGATCGACGTGATAGCACTTGATCAATGCAGATCGGAACGTCGATCGAGGCACATTAAACACCTTGCTCAAGTTTCGTTCTTCACGTCACGCCAACCCAAGTGTCAGACGCTACCAGCCGGACCTCTGCAAGTGGGCAGCTCAGGAAGCAGTAAGCTTCCCTATAAATATCCTCTCGTTCATCAGAGAGAGGGAAAGACACAAAAACACTTCTTTATCTGAAACCCTCTCCACTATCATCTGACTTGATCGTCGGAGGGGTCGGGCCGAGCACCTCGGCCCGACCTTTGTGCAGGTGCGAAGCCGAAGGTTCCCGTCGGACGCGCAGGCGAGGAGTTCCTTCCCGGAGGAGACTGTCGAGCCCCCCTTAGGGCGGCCTCTCGGCCCGAGCCACGTCCCTCGACCATAGACTGCCCGAGTCCACCTCAGCGCGGCCTGCCTGCCTGAGTCGTGATCCTCGACCTTTGCCATATTCCTCGGTCGTAGACTGCCCGAGTCCACCTCAGCGCGGCCTGCCCGCCTGAGTCGTGTCCCTCGGTCGTAGACTGCCGAGTCCACCTCAGGATGGCCTACCCGCCTGAGTCGTGTCCCTCGGCCTTTGCTAT